ATTGTGTTAAGCACTTTGGTCAGCTCTGGCTGTGCTATATAAATAAAGTTGATGATGATGATGATGATGATTTTAAAAGACAGACAGTTTTAATGTTTTAAATTCCACCTTTTTGTTTTGTTTGTGGTTCAGTACATTTAAGTTTTTCTGTTTTCTTTTCTTCCGCCTTTATTTACTGTTCATCCTTCAGTAAATACTAGCTGTGTGGTGATTTGTGTAACACAACATACAGTAAGACCACGAGACCATGCATGTGTGAAATAAAATAAAATGAAATACAATAAAAGATATACTATCTAAAATAACTATAAAACACTACTATGATAGTGGCAACTGACCTAAGTAAAATTAAATAGCTGTGAAGGTACATGACACTCACCATGAACCCAGGGGCACATATACAAGCACCTGTGACAGAATGGCAGTCAGCTCCATTGGCACAGCTGCAAGGCAGCATGCATCCCTCACCATAGTATCCAGGTGGGCAGGTCTCATTACAGTAAAGCCCTGTCCATCCCGCAGAGCAGGTGCATTCACCAGACAGTGGGTGGCAGCTACAACATAATGAGAAAAAAAGATGAAACATCAACAAGAAGAAAATTTGCGAGGTGAGGTTTCAGCTCTGAGAATGTCAACACTTCACTCCTGAGCAGGGTCAAAGTGTGAGTCTGCACCAACAGCAACTCATCCATCTACAGTATGTGTATGTGTTCATTTCAGATGGATGATGTGTCTCATTTATCCTTCGTTTTGTAATGACTTCTACGGTCGTTGCCCACCTCCAGCTGGAATCAGAGCATTAACACTTCATTAATTATGAATGCTGCTGAGAAATTATGAATGAAGCAAAGGTTGCGATTAAAAGCTAACTGGATGACATGGCTAAGAGTGCAGACTTCACAATGAGTGCTGGCTTAGAGCTAAAATGAGGCAATACTGAGGAGCTGCAGGAGGCTTTGCTTCAGGGCTTGGTCAGAATGAAGCTGCATGTGGCCTTGCAATGCTGTCTCACTTACCTTACAGTGTTGGTAGTATTACAGGGGCAGTACTTGTCGCAGATAAGGCCATAGAGGCCCGGGGGACAGAACCTCTCTTGGCAATTAGGACCTTTAAACCCTGTTTCACAAAGACAGGCTCCATTGATATGGTGACACTTGGCTCCATTCTGGCACTCACACCTCTCGTTACACTGCGAACCGAAGGTGCCCACCGGACAGTCATCCTGACACCTGGAGAAAATTACAGAGCATCGATGCAGTCTTTTAAACGCTGCTATAAAAATGTGATGTACATTTAAAAATAAATGAGAGTCATGACTGGTAACATGGAATTCAGAAGATGAAAAAGTTAAAGGAACTGTGTTTAAAAAGTAGAGCTGAAACAGGTAGGCACTGAATTACTCAACTAGTCAAACGACAAAATGAATGAACAGTAATCTGAATAGTTTGTTAATTTATTTATCATTGTCAAGCAAAAATCTTAAACTTTCTCCGGTTCCAGATGTTACGATTTGCTCATTTTCTCTGTTAGCATAAATTTAATATTTGTATGTTTTAAGCTGCTGCTCAAACAAGTAATTTTATAACAATTTCATGATTTAGTTTTATAGGTGACTTGTTTAACCATTAAGATATTCTGTCATATTAATCAATAATAAAAACAAATTCTAACAGCAGCACAAAAAAAAACATATTATACTGTTCAAATAGACTTTTGAAAAGGGCTAATGATACTAATATTTTATTTATAGCAATACTGCCTCTTTCATCACACTATCACCACTGTTAATACTGCTGCTACAGGTACAACTAGAATATTTTATGAGTGTCAGATGAATGATAATAACTTTGATATTGAACATGTAACTCTTTAATGACATGAATAAAACCCTTTAGCTGCTACTCTAATACAGTAAAAATGAAATTGAAACACAGTATTTCATTTCTTACATTTTGAATATTTAGTGTATTTTGAAAATATTTTTATAAATCCAAGGCTGACATGGTCAAATTTTGACAAGTACATGACAGGAAAGCCATAAACGCAGTCCCCGCTGTCGGCAGTCAGGACTTCTGTTTCTCTTCAGGTTCTGCACAAGATTCAGTAATCACCAACCACAGAAATTTAAATTGCTGAGGAGTTTCTCCACATGAAGCACTGAAGGAGATCAGCAAATGGATTTTTGTCTTCACCTAAATATACTGACTTAACTATCCAATCTTGGTGGAGTATCAATCTCAGGAGTCTAACAAAGCTATTACAAATAGCTCAATTATAGTACATTATAAAATGTGCAAGTTATGTATCATGTTTAAATTACCCCAGCTTTAGTTTTATCAGGGGACAACGGTATTATTACACTAGACAGGAGAGTGTGGGGGCTAAGACACTCTCAGATTATTCCTGGCAGGTTAATTCACCTGCCACTGACAAAATGAATGAGGGCAATTTTGCAAAATAATAAAGTATAAGAAAGGTCTGGTCGAGGAAGTGTTTCCATCCAAGAGACAATTGCTTTATCTGAACTAATAAACTCAGGCTGCTCTGGGCTGCTCTGGCAGGCATGGGGAACTAAAAAGATCTGTGGATTTCAATGAGACCTTAATATAGGCCCATTACTTATAATTAATGAGCAGAATCCAAACAGCATGTAGCCCATGGTGAGATCAATGCACAGGCTGGGAGTGGAGGAGGATGAAGGCTGAAGACAGGCTGAAACTTTGCTGGCCGGCATGAAGTACGAGATTAATTAAACATAAACACCCCTATTTAAAGCATCCAATCAACCTTCAAATGGACTAACGGACATTTATAATGCTTATTTCTCTTGACTGTGAGATTGTTTTAACATTTTCTTTCTCTTTTAAAAGAACAACCAGGTTTGTGCCTCATCTGGAAGTCAACAAAGAGAATAGGTCAGTGAGTGACTGTTTAATGTGCAGTAACTATAGGCGTGAAACCATCCTTTGCATTAAAACTAATATTAATAAATCATGCCATTCATTGTCTGACCTATTTTCAAAGTAGGAATATGCAAAGAGTACTTCACAAAGGCCTTTTGTGCATAATAACCTTAGCCAAAGGGTGTCACCTGCGTACCTGCGTCCACTGAAACCAGCTGCACACTGGCACTGCCCTGTGACGTGATCACACAGGCCGCCATTGCGACAGGAGCAGTCCTTGCTGCAGTTGATGCCGTATTTGCCAAGTGTGCAGGGCTGGGCACAAACTGAACCCTGAAAAGACATTTGAAGTAACTGTATGATGACTCCAAGACTCAAATACCTAAATACCTAGACTATTGTTATGGTTTGTGGCTTTACCCTCCTCAAATTTAGAGAATAAAAGAATATTTAAAAGCCTAAATGAAACACGTTATCAAAACACACAGTTATTCTTTGAACACAGTTTTCACATATGGCTCAAATGAATTTTATTTTCACATGGAAAGTGATCATTACTGACCTCCATGCCTTGGTAGGAATAGACTGCACTAGAGCACTAGAATAGCAGTAGATTATTTTAATTGCACTGACTAACCATTATCGTTGCTCTATTGAAATGATATTAATTAAAAGAAGATTTGGATGATATGACAATATGTACCGCAGGCCAATAAAAACTTGTTGACCCTCAGAGATTTTATCATATTGTTTATACTGGCCCTTTAAAATCGAGTGTGGATTCATTACCATTCAATAAGCATGAAGCTTTACTGTACATCACAAATGGGTTTTTATAAAACTTTGGAATAAATGTGATAAAGTACCCCAATTTGTCAGGTCTTTAATTCAAGATTCAGATTAGAACAGACATTGGTGTCTGGCTCTTTCCTACGCAATCAGTTTCTCAGCAGAATTTCCAGAAACTACATTATATCTCAGTAAATAATCACTGCCTTACAAAATTACTTATATCATTAAAAAAGATTTATTACCTACTGTCCAAACCCAGTTTAAAGGAATACAAAAATTCAAAGTGGGCAGCGCTTTTAAAAGCATTCAATCAATTGTCTATTTTCCTTTATTCAGTAGTTTGACAGCAGAGACAGATACCATATATAGAGAGAGTACAAGGAGGAAAACAGGCAACAAAGGTCTGGATTAACATTGCTTTAAACCGTGAGGATTTCCCTATAGTTAAACTTAATGAAGCTTAGGCAAAAGTTCAATAAGCAAGATCTCTTCCTTCACATTCTACTTGTTCCTCAGTGGGTTAATGTGGGCTATTACTCTTGATCTATTTCTCTTCATCACTTCCCTTTGCTGTCAAATCTTGACATTACTTTGTGAACCCGCACTGGAGGAAGCACGCACATCACTATGAACCTTTTTCCTGCAGTTAGCAGAGAATCCTGTGTACTTATTTATAATGAAACTTGACATATTGATACTAGGGCCCATGTTCTCAACATGTCAGATTACATTACAGACCTAAATGTTTTCCCAGAACACCAACTATGTTCAGTGGTTTTCTCTGGCCTTTCTCCCTCACTGACTCCCCACCTTTGCTCGTGTGACCTACCATCCAGCCGGCACGGCAGGAACAATCTCCGGTGATGTGGTGGCATGTTCCTCCATTCTGACAGGGGCAGCGCTGCTCACACTGAGGCCCGTGACTACCTGACGGACAGCGCTCGCCACAGCTGTCACCACACAAGAAAAGAGTGAAATGTCAAACAAAAAACACACAGACAAACAGCAAATTAGCACATGAACACTTTTTTATAGATACCTAAAGCAAAGAGGAGTAAATATGCTGCCGGTACTCACAAAGCCCCTGTGTAGCCCGGCGCACAGATGCACTCTCCTGTCTCATGGTTGCAGGTGGCACCATTCAGACACTGGCAGGGTAGTTGGCATGCCTTGCCATAGTAACCGTGCTCACAGGGCTCCTCACAACGCCATCCCTGGTACCCATCAGTGCAGACACAGGCACCTGTGATGGGGTTACACTTAGCCCCATTTTGGCACTGGCACCGATTACTGCAATGAGGCCCCCAGTAGTCACTCTCACAGCCTGCAGTCATAGAGGAAAGTGGCAGGGCAGAGTAACCAAACAAATAAAATAATGCACCAGCATTTACTCTTAAAAGCATCTAAAATAATATGTTAATATAGCAAGAATGTAATGATATTACTAATAACTGAATTCCTGTATAATACACTTGATAGTTCATCATAAATAATAAACATTTCAAGGAATTATTCCTCCCTATCAATAACCTTTTACAGTGTTAGTATAAAACTACTTTATTCCAGTAATATTCTCAATGGTCTTCTTCAGTTTAATATTCATTTTGAGCACCACAAAAAAGTACACAAGTTAAAATATACTGGGAGATGCGCTGTTTTCAGTCTTTTCATGGGATTTTTTTCCCACCAAGATAAATATCACCAGACTTATGCTTTAAATTGATTCACTTTCTCCACTCCTGCTCAGGGTCATGGTGCTGGAGTGTATCAAAGCATGCCTTGGGAAAAAGCAGAGGAACACCTTTCACAGACTGCTATTCATCATAACCAATGACAGACAATCACTCACACACACATTCACAGTTATGGAGACATAAATACAAGAAGAACATGCAAACTCTGCACAGAAAAGGATCTAAACCAGAAATCAAAATGAGACTGTTTTTCTGACCACCGAGCCTCCGTTTCACACTTCCACACACTCCTCTGGCATGTGCAAAGCTTCTGTAAGACATATATAAAACCAGCAACACTGCAGAACAAAATTCATACCCCTTGTCGACGTGAGCATTTCATAACATTAATCAAGCTGTAACTAAACCTGCTGGTATCCCAGGCAAGTGACAAACCAAAGCTTCTGGCTGAAAAAGTCTCTGCACAAAGAGCCTTGCCTACATTACTGTTCACTTCCAGACAGGTCATATAATCAAGTTAATTTTTAGAAAAAGCATCTGTCCTTTAAATCAGTCTCTAAATATATGTTAGACAGATCTAGATGAATGATAAAACCAGTATCACATACAATACCTCTCTCTTTTTTAAACAGATTTGATTAAAAATGTATGCTGTATGCTACCATATTAACAAGTTAGTCAGACTGCAATTGAAAACTTGTTCTAATACATAACTAGACCTTTAAAAACTTAAGTTTAAAACATACGTAAGTTTAATCATGTTTTAATTTTCAGAAATGCCAGGGTTCAGCTCTCCACCAACTCAACAGACAGCACCTACAGAATGACATTTTTTTCTGACATTATACCTCTCTTCTAGAATATTACAGAAGTGGTTGCAGCTTGTCTTTGTATACTATTAAAGTTGCATTGATCCATCCATTATGACCACTAGAAAAGGCATCAAATTCAATACAGATGCAGATAGATAACGGACAGTCACCACAGTATCTTCCATTAGCACACAGTTGTTTAGCTAATGTGTAAAACTGCAGGCTACAGTTTTTCTGGCCACCTAAAGTTCAATATTTACTCTCCTTTTAGGTCCATGTAGTTCTCCACAAAATATCTGTGTATTTAGGAACTTAGACAGCTAATACTTTAGCACTCTGCCTGCCATTTGGCACTTGATCATTTGTAGCATACAGTGTGCTTAGCAGAGCTTGAAGGTTGCCTAGCCGGTGGTTGATGAGTGCGCGGCAGCAACTAAATATATTTTGTCAATTAAGCTGCAGATCATTTTCTTGATTAAATGCTAAGTGTATTTTAAAAAATGGCCATCACAATTTCCCACAGCCCAAAGTGTCTTCCAATTGCTTGTCTTATCAGACGAGCAGTCCCAAGCCCAAAGATATTCGGTTTACTATGGGAGAACACCTTAAGAAAACAAAATGGTTGCATTTGACGGAGTAGAAACTGTTAATGTTTGATACGTTTGCTTAAAATGCACTGTGATTAACAAAAGACTGATTTTATGCCAACTGACATTACTTTATTTGCAAATTATTTTCGCTCAGACTAAATGTGCTAAAATTATGTGTACTCTGAGTGATTTGGATAGTATAAACAAACATATTCACGTTACACATTGTGTCATTATATTCAGTGTTAATATCAGAAATATTTATGCAGTTTTAATGTGTTTTAACTCGGATTCCTAGTACTTCCCTTCTAATAAGGTGACTAAAACCCTGCATTTTTAACAAGTAAAATGAAATGATCAAATATGATATGATGTGCCAGACTCAGTATATGTGATGTTGACATACCACAAACATCATAGAGAAAGGTCTTAATAACACCCTGAAATTAATTCGCAAAAATGAAAGCAAATGTGCAAGCTGTTCACACCTCTCTGTGACTAGAAGGAAGAGCAAACTGGCATGCAAAGATTAAGAACACAAGGAGCCAGTGATTTTTCATATATAGCGGTTTGTTAGTTGTATGTCTTTTAACACTTTTTTTCAGGTAGAACACAGTCAGCTCTCACAAAAGGCCAGTGATAACCACTGAAACTAAGAAACGTCTGTATCTCTGCAGACATATCCTCACTTTTCAAACTTTACTTAATCTACTTTTAACTGACTAATTGTATAGAACCTAGAGTAATAGTGCAAAAACATTCAGTTTGATGGAATAAGCCAACACGGTATTCATCCTCAGTGATGCTAATACCCCAGAGGTGTCATCCATCAGTAACAGCAGAATTAGTCTTCCCAGCTGTATTGTAATATTGACACTCAAGAAAATTGGTCAAGTTATATAACCTCGGCGCTTTTCATTGGTGTAAATGGCTCAGTGACATTACTTAGTAAGACCTGAGGGAATGATGTAAAACAAGCAATTCTCACATTTCTCGAGGGATGGCTCTATTTAAAAAAGACTTAATACATCCCATAAACTGCAGGAAAACAGCAAATATTCAAGGTTAAATGAACAACCAGCTTTTATGTGAAGAACAACCAGCACTGAGCTGTGGCTGTGGGCAGTCACTCTCACTGGGGTAATTGTTCTTTTGAGGATCTAGTGGCGATTTAAGTGATTGGTATGGTCTTATGTCCCTTCAGCAGCAGCAGCAGCAGCCCATTTTGAAATCCAGGCTGGCACACAGCAGCAAGGATGGTGAATATTCCACTATTGAGTCTCACATAATTGCAAACTCAGTTGTACATGTAACAATGCGTCTCCCCCTCCTTATATACTAGCTTTGCCAGAGCTCTCATCAGCCAGAGTGGGAGCTTAATGAACACTGTTTCGTGGTCGGCATCGAAGCCTGTTTTTCCAGGTACGCAGCAGGAAGATGATCAGCCTTTCTGTGATACAGACAGGTCTGCCCTGAAGGGGGTCCCGAAACACTGCTCTAGTGCAGTATTACTTCTGTGGTTGGACAGAGTAGAGGCCACATTACAAGCCTCACACTGATTTGATCTAATGTGCTCCAGGCCTCCAGTCTGGCATGAACGAGTTCCCTGAAGGTTGAGCTGCTGCTACGCAAACGACCCTGGCACATTAAATCTGAGGGGTGTGCAGGCGGACAGGGTAATAGATGAGCAGTTTAGCTGCAACTTGGTTCAGCACTCCATAAGAACTCATCAGAACTACTTCAGCTCAACAGTGCTCCCTCAGCATAGCAGACAAAACAGGCAGTGCCTACTGTATATTACAAGAGGCATCGCCATCATCTGATACCAGCTTCAGACTTTAACCACATTAATAAAGACAGCATTTTTTTATTCTGACACAAATATGTCAGTAAAAAATTGCCAGAGCAGCAGAGAAAAACAGAAGTAAACTGAAATCTATCCAGTGCTTAATTTGCAGACTTTTCTGGTGCTTAGGAGCTCAACAAATGATATCATTTGAAGTTTTAAACCTTCTTTAGCTCACAGTTAGAGGCCTCAGCACATCGAGAGCAAAGCCCATTATCTCACTGTCTCTCTCCTACACAGAGGTTCTCAAACTTTACCCAGCAGTCTCTCACTTCCCAGCACTGACAGTATTTAACTATGATTAAGGAGTCAGAGTTCATGATAAGCTGTGGGCAAAAACAGAGAAACAACAAAAGAAAACAGTATGTTGCATGAAGGACTCCGCTTCTAGAGAGCACAACTAAATTGTGTGAGGTGATGAGGGCACCCTGTGGGTTGTAGTGCGTAGGCAGTGAATCCCACACTGCGACTAGAGAAGCTGCAGTCCAGCCCATTAACTGGTCTGGTCTGGGTCATGAGCCTAACCAGAGGACACACGCACTCGCAGCTCAGAGCCCATCATGCATAACAGCTGCAATGTGGATAACCTCACACACAGGGAAAGGTCCAATCCCAAGATGCTGGCTATAATCTCCTTGGCTGGAACAAAACAGATCGTACCGAGGGGTACCGGCAGATAGTAAAATTCTGAAGGTGATGTCCAAAGAATGGGCTGAGAGAGCCATCATGGCTTTGAAGTGTGCTCAAGAGTCTGCACGATCAGGGGCTGCCTGCAACAGGATTAAATCCAAACAGCTTTCAGCAGCCGACTTCTTTTAGAAGTCATCCTGAACTTGGCCTCTTCAGCGAAATGTTTGTCACTGTTTGTGTCTGTTTGTGCCACAGAAGGCTGCCATAAGCTTCTCAAAGCTAACTTCAAAATGAGGGCCTGAGTCAAGCTCTTCAAACACATCAATACATTGAAATGGCATTCTAGTTTTTTTACTTCATTTATTTAGCTGGCAAAAGCAACGTTCAATTAGAATCACAGCTGGACTGGTAGAAACACTGGCCACTCGAGGTGGTGGGTGCAGACAGTTTGTTGCTGCTTTGCCAACCAACTGGGAACGCCACATTAATGCTATTGGAATATTTGGCACAGAGCCCGACTTCACTCCCCACCGACTGAGCCACTCACAGTCACATAACTATTATAACACACATTGTTGACACTTGAGGAATCACTTAACTCACTGAAGACATTAGAAGGCGAAACACTCTGACTCCTGAGAGCCTTTTACTCCTCGCTTACTCTTTAGCAGAGCTTGTGGCAAAGCAGAGTGATTTATTGTCTTGATGAGTCTCCTGCACTGCCTCATGAGAAGAGTGCACCTCTGAGTTTT